GTATTTCTCTCTCTAAACACAGGTTTTAGAAGAGAGTAGTGGTTGTAATTGAACAGTTACAACCCACTTTCAATCTACCCATCAGCTGATAGTTTTTGCTAGTTAAGATCAAATTCTTAGCCTTTTAGGACATCTTCTTCAATTAGCCAGGGTGACATGCCATTTTTTTGTGTGCTGAAATATACCAGTCTATTCTAGCTGCCATGGAAGCATACACACTGTTCAATGACATTGAGGAGTACCCTAAAGTACCAAAAAATAGGCTAGTGAATTGTTAAACGAAATACAGCTGATTTTAAGCCTGTAAAGAAGGATATTTTGCACTATGTTTGTTTTGCAGGACAATGCAGCCATGGAAGGTAAAGAGGTGGATCATATGTGACCACTGTTTTGACAACTCTAGGCTAGGAACCTGACAGACACAATACATGCTTTGCATTGATACCAAAGTTGTTTAAAATGGTTCTGCTAGTGTAGATTATGAAATTCAACTTGTGAATTCTGTGCACTTGGTAACAATAAAAAAGTTTTATAAAGCATAAAGATTTACGAATAGAGAGCTACAGATTGTAAGATGATTGAATCATTTTAATATTGTTCATATTTTAATACTCTATATACTTTAATTGTGAAAGGAAAGATGAAGTGTACCTCGATTTGGTAATTGAATTAGTTTCTTAAATGGCGTATAAAGTAGTATTGTGTAAATATATCTCGAAAAATATTATTATTTACTCATTTAATTTTAGTTCTGTCCGTCAGTGTATGTATCTATAAATATTTAAATGGAATGGTCTGTTGTATATAAGTATATATTTTGTTAGGGTCTGTCTGTTAGGATGAATCTATTATAATACTCAGTCTTTGTTCGTTATGAGTATGCACGCGCACCTTATTATCTAAATGCGCATGTAAACGACAGCATGTTAACTGCTTATCATACTTTTTAAAAAGGTCTAATGTTAGGTCGTAGAGTAACATTATGAGTTTATTCATTGATAGTATTAAGCACGGTAAAGTTAGCCCTAACTAAACTAACTAAAGCGAAAAACGTACACAATTTACAGGGTTAATTTTCTTTTTATCGAGCCCCACAGTGGCACAGCGGATAGTCTGCGGACATACAACGTTAGAAACCGGGTTTCGATACCCGTGGTGAACAGAGCACAGATAGCCCATTGTGTAGCTTTGTGCATAACTACAAACAAGTGGACTTACAAATATCCGTCGCTGTGATTAGAATTATTTTGTATTATTCAAGAAATTTCGTATTTAAAGTACTGTTGCAATAAAGATACTAATCTGCCCGCAAATGTTTTGCGGGTCTCTGCTAGTTTAAGCATATTTTTATTTTCGTCAATGTTCATGGTGAATTTCGTGTTTCATTTCATGAAGAGCACTTATTATGTGTGTTTGCTATGTTCTGTAATGAGACTTTATATTATATGATTGTGTGTATTTTTTGTAAATGTTTGTTTTAATATGCGTCATTGTACTTGTTTTGTTTTATATTGTTAAACGGTTGGTATTGGGACAACTAGCACGCTGGATCTGAAAAATAGGCCAGTATAATTATGATATTGAATACAGAGAAGGAAAATCTCATGGAAATACCGACGGACTAAGCCGAAAACCCTGCAAAAATGGCTGCAGACATTGCTGCAAAAGAGAGGTTGAACTAACCAGGTGCCATCAAGCTGAAGTCAAAGTGACTCAAGGAGTTGATGATGGTGAAGTGGAACCAAGTAGAGATATTCAAGCAGAACAGGAGAAAGATCTAGATTTGAAGCCAATAATTGATTTTCTACAAGCAAGTGTTTTGCACCCTGCTTGGGAGAAAGTGTCTAGCTTAAGCCCTGTGACAAAGAACTATTGGGCACAATGGGACCAGTTGAAGCTTGAAGATGGTATTCTTGTACAGAGATGGGAAACTGTAGATGGGAAAGTGACGACCTGGCAAACAGTTATACCGAGTAAGTTACCGGAAGTTGTGCTGCATCCATCACATGATAGTTTAACAGGAGGATATCTTGGAGTTAAGAGAGACACTGAGTCACCTATGGAAGAGATTTTACTGGATAGGTTTGAGGCAAGATGTGGTAGAATGGTGAAGGATCTGAAGTACATGTTGTGCTAAAAGGGGACCCACGCATAAGGGACGTGCTCCAATGAAGTTATATCAAGTTGGCACACCAATGGAAAAAGTAGCCATTGACATTGCTGGTCCTTTGCCCCAAACGCGTGCTGGAAACAAGTACATTTGTGTGCTGATGGATTATTTCACCAAGTGGCCTGAGTCATATGCAATACCAAATCAGGAAGCTACAACTGTAGCTTCGGCTATTACTGATTTCTTCTTCAGGTTTGATATGCCATACGAACTGCATTCTGATCAAGGCCGTAACTTTGAATCAGCTGTGTTCCATGAATGCTGCAAGTTGTTTGGCATAAGAAAGACCAGGACAACACCACTTCACCCACAGTCCGATGGGATGTTAGAAAAGTACAATTGGACACTGGAACAGAAATT